CTTTAAGTTTTTCATTGCTACATCAGTGACTTCAAAATAGATGTTTCAATCCCAGGAATTTCACTTGCTGTTAATTGCATGGGAGTGCCAGTCTTTCATGAATTTCTATTGTCATGTCAATTTCTTGCGATTACTCTGAACATGAAGTTGTAACCACAGACCGTCTAGGTGCTTTAACTAAAACCTGGTGTAAGCACCGGTTGGGCAGTCTTGAACTATGCATGTGAAGCCACCTGAGAGGTCTAATATTCAATCCTATAGATTTCTCATTGTTTGGTAACTATTTGCTGCAAATGCAACAAAAATCAATATAAAAATATGACCCACACAGCATTCTACAGGTTACTTGTTTTAGCTGGAATTAATTTTTGCTGAAGACATTTTGAGTGTTTTGTATGGAATTTATTTTCACTGATTTTTGGCGAGTTGAATGTAAAGTATAGGAAAAAAGGCATATTCGCTGGATTTTATTTTCACTGAATCATTCCTTCAACGAAAATAGCGAAAATTAATTCCAAACGAAATTATTTTACAGCAGTTAGTTTAAATGTCATAGTCTTTGAATCCTCTAATGTATCTTTCTATCACGCTGTGGCAATATGCTTTATGAGAACTTTCACTGTCAGTCTGTTGAAAAGTGGAAGTCTTCTCCACTCCATTTACCGTGTATACAGCTGATGAATTATCTCTGAATGGAAATCAGGTGAAATAAAATTCAACATTTGATATCAAAAGGTTGTGCACATCTTTGTTGACTTGTTTTATAAATTGTGAAAATGTCAGCTGCTTTGTGCAACAAGATTGACAAGAGCAGAACCAACAAATTATTTCATCAGAGTAAACCACACAAATGAATGCAATTTACTTGCATATTACCTCACCCTTCCCCACACACCCCCACACCACCCCACCCGAGCCTATCCTACCTATTTTGGGACCAACCATGCTGGAGATGCATTTAAATGTTTTTGTCTTTCTTTAGAAGTTGACCTATTGTTTTTTATTCCTATTAAGTCAAAAATTGCGAAGTTGCATTTGTATCGTGAAAGGTAGAATAAGGAGAGAGAGAACGAGACCACAACTTACCATGTACACGAGAAAAGGGACAGCAGTATACTAGTACATGTGCAGTGCGGTTCACATGTCATAAGTCACTGGCAAGGCATGCCACTGGGAACAAAATATTTTATGGGGAAATGCTGTCTTCATTGATGGCGTATTTCTTTAATTCCATTTTGACATGGACACTTTACGTGCACACCAGAAGATTTAGTTTCCAAATATACATAGGCATTCCCTTCATCATTATAAGTACATGTATTTAAAGATCGATGTCGGATACAAAACTTAATTCCTTTAGTTTTTTTCCACCCCCCCTACCCCCCACTGAAACTTAATTGATAAATATTGATCATGGCGTCAGACTACATTCACCATTAAATACAAATTGATAATCGGACAGTAGTATTGCATAGCAGTTGATTGTCGGGTGGGTGTAACAAGATTTTACAAATGCACCTCAATTGACGCACAGATTTACACTCGAACCAAACCATTTTACTGTTTTTGTTCCCTTTTCGGTTATTTCTGTCCATGATTGGATAGAAAAAAACGAACTACAAATACTCCAAGATTTTTTTGACTTCATTAAAAAATAAAATCGTTTTTGTAGGATGGAAACTTTTAGAGGTCAAAACCCCCACCTCCAAACTAAAGGAAATAAGTTTTTTATCCGACATCGATCTTTTGACGTCGTCCCTAAGTTGAATCCAACAAGCCCATGTGTGCAACGATGTGATTTGAGAAAGTTCCAGTTTTACTCGATCAGTGTTGTAAAATCATGAATATTTATAAAAATGAAGGTGACATCTTGTGCTGAGAGTACTATAAATATAAATCTCAAGATGATATTACATTGTTTGAAAAGAAACACTCAATTTTACTAAAGTAAGTTGTAGCAGGTTTGACCATAGAGGGCGGTGTTCACTAAAGACACTACCAGTCGTAATAAACTACTAGTAGCTAAAGGCACAGTACAACTACACATTTGGCACATAAGTGTACTTGACTCAAGAAAGAAGCATTAAGCGGATTTTCAGAATGTGTAATAGGAGCATTGAGATTATAAAATAAAATAAAATAACACGTACGGTTTTAAAAAAAGACGCTAGTTTTGGGGTTATTGCCAAGGAAGGAAATAAATAAAAAAAAAACAGGTGTGGTGTTTGTAAGTAAGTGCTCACATTAAAGGCTAAAAGTTTTTCATCACGCGCGTATATTTGAAGCCTGCGCGTCACGCAATTTGTGCCATTTTGCAAAACAGTAAAGTGCACCACGTACGGTATAATTGGAAAATGCTTTTGTTTTTTCTGTTTCAGAAGATGTTTTGTCGAGTCGATCCAAATCACTATTTCAGGCCTACTGACACTGGTACCAATACCATACACGAGGTGCTTCTGTGATATCAAAATGACATGCGTAGAACGAAACGTAGTTCAAAACGACATCTCTGCTTGGTTGTGCGTCCTGTTTCGTCATTTCGACTATAGTAAATCTTTCAAACACACTATGTTTCAATAATAAGCGACCACTGATCAAACACAAAATCGACAGTGTGAACGATGTGCATTTCTTACGTCGATTACGCCACAGGAGTGCTTTGTCGCTGTAATTTGTATATCTGAAAATGATAACGACCATTTTAAAAGAAATAAAATAAAATTCACAACCTCCCTAAATATACTTGAAGTTTGATCTATGTATTTGACTAGTTAATAGTAAATGTATTGGTTCACGGTGGACATAACACGGTCATATCCATCTTTGACATATATATAATACTACTAGTACTTCCACTTTCATTTATACTGTTTTGACAAAAAATTAAAAATACATCAATTGGCACCAATTACAGTACAGATGAGATAACGGGAACTCAGGGTTTGGATATAGAAACTCTATGTGGAGATAATGCCAGGGTTGATGGTAGAAATGTAGCAAAACATTGTCTTTCGTGAAGTTTGGCTTAGTTTCTTTGCAAGAATGATGTTATTGTCATGTATGGCACGACAGCTCGCCCAAACACATTTGTTCTTCTTCATTTTTTTCTCTGTACAGATGTGTTTCCCAATCTATCATCATCTCTTAGATTATAATGAATAAACCACTTATTCAATCAAGAGTTGTTTAAAATGTTAAACGTTGCTCTCAGTAATTCTTAACTTTTGCCAAACACTGTGGTGTAAAGTTCGTTGTCGATTACAGACTGGCATAAACATCCATCAAAGTTGATCGTGGGCGCAACTTGAAGAGGGCGTAACGCAAATGTTCGCACATATGTATTAACAGTCATTTATTCATGATTACTGTTTTTATTCAATAAAACGTATCAAATTTATTTGATTAATGATTAATTCAAAATTCATTTTTCTTGTAATACTCTAAATTACGTCATCGAGAAGAAACCTACGGCGCAAAGTGATTTGAATCAAAGACATTAGTCTTTGTTTGAATGCATGATGGATAAGAGCATTCAACTTGGTGGAGTCGGTGGAGAATTCGGCAGAAAACTGCACTCTCTTATTTTGATAAAATAAAATAAAATACAATTCTCGTTTGCACTGTTATTTTTTTAAGTTAGAGGACATAAAACGTACTAATTTTTAGTGATCACTTATTTGAATAAAGATTTGTAAACTTTGTCAGAAGAAAAAAATCGCTGCCAGTAATTGTTGACTTTTGTTAACATTTTCCTGATGTAAAGTTCGTTTTCGCTATTTTTGAGAAAAACGTTAATTTATAAAAGTTTTTAATTGGTTGCCCTTAACGTTGCTGGTATTTTGCTAAATATAGGAAATGACGCAATCTGCCAGCGACAGGAGGGAGGCCTTCGGGTGTAAACTTCCGGTTTGTATTCAGCTGTGCTTCTAATATGGCGGACGACGGTACTGTTTTCGTCCTGCCTCCTTCTTCGCATTTACTCTGCCCGATATGTCAGAAATTATTTACAGATCCCGTCATCAGCGTGAATTGTGGCCACACTTTCTGCAGAGCATGTATCCTTAACCGGGAAAGCGAAGAGTCGACGAGAAGTTGTCCACTGGACGAGAGAAATTACGAAGACAAAGACTTGGTTGTGAACAGGTAAGATCCATCAACGTTGGCGCCGCGCCGATAGTTTTGCATTACACATCATAGAAGCTAGGCATCTCACGCTCCGTCCTCTGATGTAAAATTGATGCAGTTTTGCCAATATGTTATAGCAGCACACACACCCCATCGTTCCCGTTGAAAATTATAGCAACATATAATTTGCAAATTTCGATTTGGAAAAAAAAAATCCAGCGAACTGTACATCATTCTCGTTCAACTGGGTCAAGGGCGCCTTCTCTGTGTTGTTACATACTACTCATACAATGACATGACATGACGCAGTGATTCCAGAATTATGCTCTCAACCCGTTTTCTCTTCGGTGTCCGTGAAATATGGGCTTTCTAGATTGAAAACAAAAACATGGCTAATTTAGGAAAAAAATCTGCATTATGGAATGTGCCTAGCTTTTTAAAATTGTGTCTCGATACATAATTTTGATAATGTAAACACTGTACCGGCAAGATCTAGTCCAGAGGCCCAAGCAATGATGCACACACGTCGGTCTACATATCGATTTAGTATTAATGAATACATTTATTGAAGTTCTCAGAGTGCTGCCACTTTGCAGTCCTCCTAAAGTCACATCTTTGTTCGGAGGTGTTAATTACCGTATTGTCATTTTTGAAAGGGGTCGCGTGAGGACAAATTCATTGCAGTGTTAACATTGACTCAATATTAATTGCGCTCTGGTCTTGAAATCAATCGCTTCCTAATTCAAAACGCGCTGCCACCACACTTTCCTGATCTTGTTATAACACATTCCTGCTTGTTATAAAAATATAGTTAAACCCAAGTGTAATTCACTGGATTCCTCAGAACTTGACCTTCTAGAAGAATTCCAAACACGAGATGTCACATTCAGTAAGGGGGGTATGCAAAAAGGGACCCACCACAGAGATTGTTTTCACACCTTGGATATCACTTGTACTGTATTCATGCTTTTAGCAGAGTGGTGCTAGTTTTAGATTTTATAGATGTGTTTACGTGGCATTTTACACTAATCTGGTCAGGCACTTAGTTTTGAGCCATTACTAAGATTTGCTATTAATGTCTTAATCTAGATTTTTTAAAACCATTTTATTACCTGTTATTTCTTGATTGGGCATGATTTTCATCTCTTTAAGGTAATCTCAGATATTTAGATACGGTAATGAATAACAAAAAACAGCGGAGCACTTTTACAAAGATTGCGCTGTTAATTAATATCAAAATTGAAAAGTGAATTTAAATGCATGATCATTACAATGTGTTTTTGAAAACAGATTTAATTAATGGGTTCATTTGTTCTGGGAATATGCCTATCTTTCAGTAACTCTTTTTAGTCAATTTTCTTTGAATTCACTGTAAAATACAAATTTCAAAATCTTTTGTTCTCTTCTGTCAGTCATGCTGGTACATGATATGTACACTGCGTGTGACATAAAAATACTATAATATGTCATATTTTTATTTTTCCACATATTTTAAAAAGTGCAAGGATTTACCCTAAAGGCATGGATACTAATCAAATAAATTATAATAGTGTAGTATAGCCCTGGAATGTGGAAGTTGCTTGTTTGTATCAAGAGTACCATGTAGATGCAAGTTGACCTTCTATATTTCCTAGGGGCAAACTGCTGAACAATGAAGTGGTTTGTTTTCTTGGCTCAAAAAGTACCAGGGGGTACCTTTGTATAGAAATTCTGTACAGAGATAAGGATGATCACAAGGGGCAATGTGTGTATTTTGATGATCTGTGAAAGAGAACAGCTGTTGAGATGCTATTATTGGTTTCATTCATTTGTTGTGAGTTAAAATTCGAATGCTGAAACTTATTTGTAATTAATGCATGTATTACGCCAAAAATAGATGTAATTTTGACAAAGAGTTTAAACATAATACTTAAATATTTTCAGTTGTTTTTTTTTCAAACCAAAGGTAGCCTCAACCTTATGTGCATGGAAAGCTAAAATATTTGAAACAAGCCATGCAATGTACTGTTCGGGTAGTAACGCACACATTTGTTCAAGTGTATACTTGAAACACAAATAGAGTACTGTGTGAGTGATTTATACCAACATTTATTTTATTTACTGTAGGGCTATATTTGCCACGAATGATCTTTTTAAAACATTCAACTGAATTTCAGATTCGCCATATCTTGGTTTTGCAATTTTTTGACAACTGCGCCTGTATGCTATTCCCAAAATATTTCTCTATTGGTTGTTGGATTGTCACAGAACAACAACAAATATTGAGTCCTAATGAGGAAAGGTAAACAAATTGAAAAAGCATTATAATAACATAGACCCCAACAGAATCTCAGTCCTTCATTCCAGTAAGTGAGTTTTGGGGATTGACACAGTAAATTGTATATAATATGATTTGATATTACACATTGACCTTACATAGCTTTGATAAAAAGCATATAAATCCAGGGCCTGCTGCTGGACAAAATCCTGACAGACCAAACTTGATAGAAAAGAAATCATGGTGGGAAAAATACCAGTACAAAAATGTAATATGTCAATAACATGTTTTTAATAGAAAGGACATTACATGAAAACATCGTCATACATAAGGTCTAATCATGTTTTTTCCTATTTTAATAATTATTATAAGTTATGCAATCTTGGTGCATAATTCATAATCATAATTCATAATCAATATAAAATCAGCAACACAGCATAACATAACCATAAGCAACACTGTTTACATAGCACTAATATTTTCTGTACCCCACAATGTTTCCTGAGAGTAGATAAACAATAATTGATTTGACAATATCGTAGTATTACTCAGATGATTTATAATGGCAACCGAAAATGATGGCTTCACTAATAATTTGGCTGAAATCATTTTCATCCCTGCTCGTTTTTCATTAGACAACCATCATGTTGCCAGCTGCTGTTATATACAGTACATGTATTCTGCTCATTGAGTAGATCCTCACTAAAGACATTTGAAAATCATCTAAATGCTAAAATGTTGGGTTCCCTAACTCATATTATGACATGTTTTTGTTTTTGTATCATGTGTGCCAGTGGGTTTACATGTGTGAAAATCATCACATACTGTAACATATGTTTCCTATTTTCTGCATAATTGATTATATTTAGTGTATACAATTTCAGTTGTGCTCATTACACTGGCAGATGAATGCAAAGTGCAGTTGACTTGGAAATATTCTACAGATAATTTTTTTTTTTTTAATTCTGCTTCATTTAATTTTTTTTTTACCATTGAATTGAATTTTTTTCTTGGATGCCTCAGTGGGCTACCAACTACAAATGCTTGTAGCTAAACATAATGCTATGTAGTCCAGCAGTTGTTTGGTATTTAAAGCCATGCACACAATTGTGAATACATGGAAATAACCAAATCATTTGGTGTAAGATAACTCATACCTTTTCGTCCCTGTTCGGTCATAGTCTGAAAATGAGGACTTATGGATTGACCTCTGAGTGTGTGTCCGTGCAACTGTTTGTTTGTCTGGACCTATATCTTAGACATGCCTGGACTGATTACATTCAAACTTCACACATGCGTCATACATAATATTATATATTTGCACATCAATTTGTTTCACATTCTGATTTAAGATGAACATCAAGGATTTTTCAATATATATTTTGATAGTAGCAAACTACCTCAAAATCTATCTATATCTTTTATTGTTAATAATTGAAAAAAAAGCTAAAAAATGGACGATTCCTTTTTTTTCATTTTATTGGCCAAACAATACTTTTACTCACAAAATCACAGAATTTTAGACGTTGATAATTTTAACCTAGTGAACATTGCTTCTTTCACACTATATATATATGTAGGAATGATCTATTGTGACACTTGTTAGCTGACTTGTTTCTATTGTATCTTTGCCTTTGTCTGGCTGCCCAGATTTGGCACATTCCAACCCTCTTTACTTTACCCTAAGGGTCACACTGAAGGGACGCTACACCTGAAATACAATGAAAAGTTTAGCTTTCTAGTTTTCAGAAGAAAAAACAGACCATGTAGATTGTGTTTCGTGTACTTATTGTTAAATCAAAAACTCATTGTTCTTGAACAAACTATTAGCTGTGGAGAATAAGCAATTGGACACCTGGGAACGAAGTTTGGGGGCTGCCTTTGTATGGCCTGGTTTGGTATATAGTTTTTACCTGTCCTTCGCCCATTAGAGATCATGCCTCTTTATTGAAATTAAGGCGTGTTCACCCCTCCCACTGTGACCTGTATTTACTTTTTTTGTAATCAAACCTTATTGAATTGGGATTATGTGTTGGTAAACAATTCAGAAACTTTCATTTTATTTTCATAGCCCTGACCCCCCTGATTTACAAATACCCCCCCCCCCCCCGAGAAATGTTACATCACTGGCTACAAAAGAATGACAAAATTCACCTGAGATCTGTTTCCCTTATCATAAATGGCTGTAAAAAAGCAGTTAATTGATTCAAGTCAACTTACAATATATTCAAAAAACTTTTCCTGTTATTTAGTAATTAGCGATCGTTTGAGTATTTATTCTTGTTATATGTAGCAATTAATTGAGAATGGCATTTGCAATGTCACTTGTTGCTGGCAGTGTTATGTAATTTATAATTTCCTACCAGTGACTGGTAGTTAGTCCCAAGTTGAATTCCAAAAAGGGGTTGACCCACTTACCTTTGGTGAGTGTGCCACAAGACTCAATGGGGAGGCCATTTTGCCTCTAAACGAAATTGATTCACTGAATATGTATTAATTGTGTTGTTGTTACCATATGATAAGAAGATGACACAGTTCTGTCATTTATATGTTGTCCCAAACATGGAATATGGTTTCCATGGCAGCAGTGACTTTCAATGTTAGGAACTGCCACCTGGCACACAAATATATTTAAAAAAAAGTATGCTGTCTTAGTACTGAAGCATATTGTCTTTGCTCTATTCATAACACAACTTTTAAGTTTTAAGCGCAAATTTTTATTGTAAATTGTTTAGCATGGCGTTGATGGAAACATGTGTGC